AAGAAAAGACTTGTATCGCAGAAGCTTCTCGGAAAGGATTTCTACGAAAAATTAACAAACGAACACAGACGTAACATTATGATTTTTTGTAATTACTACTAATTATTACAACAAACCAATGACATCGTGCTTGCCCAGAAACACATAGAGTGGATTTAGGTTTAAACTGACGTTAGTGATAAAGTAGTTGTATAGTTATATCGACTGAAACAAGAAGAAGAAGGATGAACAATTTGGTGGGTTGGTCACTTTCTGGTTTGGTATCTTAGCGATGGCTTCTTGCCTTGTTTGTTGGACTTGCTGGGTAGAGAAACAAATAAAAAGAGAGTGCCAATCATCTTTTAACTCTCTGTCATTGTTGATTTTTAGCGTGCATATTTGTATTATGCCTGTTGAATACTTTGGCCATCCTTACACTCTATGATAAAGCTAAAATAAAAACCACTCGACTCACCCACACAGGCAAACTAGAAACAACATCGAATTTATAGCAAAAATAAGTCCAAACTATCTCATTGTCAAAATTGTGTGACGGATTTATTATTATATATTTATTTTAATATCAAAGTTTGTTCAGATTAAATTCATATTTAAAAACATACATAGCTTATACTGTTAGATATGTATTGCGAAACTCCCACCTATTCTCTAAAGTTGTAGTAGATTCTCGAGAGTAAGAAACAGCAATATATGTATGTACGTAAACGCTTGGATTAGCGTCAGTTATGTTACGTAAATATTAGCAATGAAAAGGGATGGTTGTAGCCAGGCCCACCGAGAGGGTAAGGATACCGGGGAAAAATTCCCGGGCCCGGGCCTCAAATGGGCCCGGAAGAGAGTGGAGATAAAATAAACATTTATAGCAAAGTAATTGATCAAACAAGAGCGAGACAATATAAGTAATAAATGTAAATATTATATAAATATTGGTCGTTTGTTAATTTCCGGTATATATTCTATCCGAGAAACTTCCGTGATACAAGTCCTTTCTTAATTAAAACTAGTTTATTCTTTCTCGATACAACTTTGCAATACACAGAATTTCCACAGTCACTTTAAACTTGACTACTTTTAAGAACACACGCTATAATCACAGTGATTCACACACTTTACTTACGGCTTGACTCGATTATCTCTATCTTCAATCTCTATATCTATCTGCAATTATATCTCCGCTTTATTTGCCGGGCTTATATACTAAAAAAGAGGACGCCTAGAACAGACTACAGTTGCCAGGAAAAGTCACAATCCTTCTAGAAACTCATGACATGTTACCAGCGCCACGTGACTTCCGCTGTCATAACAATATTATATTATTGCCGACAGTTAAAATATGCGCTACCACTGTTTCAATACAGAGATTCAGCGTATGAGAAAATACTATGACTACCGCACTGCGCTTTTACAATGTTATTTCGTTTAATTCACACCATATACCACCTCACC